GTTCACAGGTCGACTCTCAACCGCTGAGGCACGCCGGCCGGGCCTTGCAAAAGCTTTTAGGCAGTTCCTGGCGATGTCCATGCTGGGCGCGCCGGGCGAGTGGAATGAGAAAAAGAGACCCTCCATTCTCCGTGAGTCTGAAGAGAAGCAGCACGTCGGCGGGCGGGGAGCCCGGCTCTCACAGCGGGCTGGGGGGGAACTTCTGGGGCAGGTAGGAACGGGGGCGGGGTAGGTGGCAGGGGGGGGGGGGTGCTGTAAGGAAAAGGTGTCGGGTGAGGACAGCTGGCACCGGGTGCCCAGGGCGACCCCACCGTGGGAGAAGGAACTCAGCTTAGGCCAGTGGTCGGCAAACTCATTGGTCCACAGAGCCAAACACCAAGAGGACAACGATTGACATTTCTTCAGAGAGCCACAGTTTTAAAACTTAAACGTCTTCTAACGCCGCTTCTTCAACATAGACTCGTCCAGGCCGTGGTGTTTTGTGGAAGAGCCACACCCAAGGGGCCCAAGAGCCGCCTGTGGCTCACGAGCAGCGGTTTGCCCACCACAGGCTTAGGACAATCGGAAAGTCTCGATGCCGGACAATGGCTTTTCAGCCGGCTGTTCTCTGCGCACCTGCTCCCGGCCCCACAGTGTGTGCAGGAATCTGTCTCAGAAGCGGGAATCCGGGGTCATTGCTGGGAGTGAGGCCGTTGCAGAGCAGGCCCCGTGGTTCACGCAGCGGCCACGCCCGGGCAGGCGTAGGATTGTGACGTCTCTTCGTGGTCCGTCCCAGCGATGGCGTCCGCAGTGAGCTTGAACCAAACCCAGCATCCGGCCGGAAAAGAAGGAATGGGCTGGTTTTCTCTCCTCCACCTTTCCTGCCGTCCGCCCTGAGGATAATTAAAGGGAAGAAAGTCTGTCTCCACCATTTTCGTGCAGGAAGCTGATGCGTTTCTAGGTCATAAAGACTTTGGTGCACAGTCTCTGACATCCGCCTCACACCGAGGGGATTTCTGAGTGTTCATGGAGAGCCAATGTCCTGAATTAAAAAATAAGTCACACTCTATTAATACGACATTGGCAGGTGCCCAAAGCTTTTCTTTAAAAAAAATTTTTTAAATCGATTTCAGAAAGAGAGAGAGAGAGAGAGAGAGAGAGAGAGAGAGAGAGAGAGAGAGAGAGAGAGAGAGAAACATAACCACGGATCAGCTGCCTCCTGAAAGCCCCCACTGGGGATCAGGCATGCACCGGGGCCTGTGCCCTGACGGGGGATTGAACAGAGACTCCTGGTTCCTGGGTCCACACAGCCCCTGCACACCAGGCAGGCGCCCACAGCTTTTCTGAACGAAGACTCAGAAAGGCTTCGACCCCACCATGAGGGCCATAAGCCTCATTGGTTAGAGAACGGTCCCGTCCCAAGTCACTGTCCTCTTAAAGCTGTTATGATTGATCGCCGAAACCGGTGTGGCTCAGTGGTAGAGCGTCGGCCTGCGGACTGAAAGGTCCCGGGTTTGATTCTGGTCAAGGGCTTGTACCTTGGTTGCAGGCTCCTCTCCAGCTGGGGCCGTGGTAGGGGCTCATGGGAGAGATACCTAATTGACGTGTTTCTAAAACCATCGATGTTTCTCTCTGTCTTTCCCTCTCTTTCAACTCTCCCTAAAAGTCAATGGAAAATATCATTGGAGGGAGATAAGAGATCAACCCCAGGACTTGTGTGCAGGCATATGAGCATAACCAATGGACACAGACACTAGGGGGTGAGGGAATGAGCTGGGGGGTGGGAGTGTCTTGGATATGTCAGTGGGGAAAAAGGAGACATATATAATACTTTCAACAATAAAGAGTTAAAAATATCACTGAGTGAGGCTTAACAACCACAAAAAAACAACAACAAAAGAAACCACAACAAAAAAAGTGATGAATGAGAGCAGTGGTCATCAAACTGCAGCTCTTGAGCCACATGTGGCTCTTTGGCCCCTTGAATGTGGCTCTTCCACAAAATGCCACATGTGGGTACGCATGTACAGTGCGACTGAAACTTTGTGGCCCATGCGCAGACGTTGGTTTTCGCTCTCAAAACAAATTTCAATCGTTGTGCTGTTGATATTTGGCTCTTTGACTAATGAGTTTGCCGACCACTGGCCTAGCCGGCTTGGCTCAGTGGATAGAACATCAGCCTGTGGACTTGAAGGGTCCCAGGTTCAATTCCGGCCAAGGGCCCAGTGCGGGGTGTGCAGGAGGCAGCCCATCGATGACTCTTTCTCATTATGGATGTTTCCATCTCTCTCTCCCTCCGCCTTCCCCTCTGAAACAATACAAATACATTTAACAAGACCCGCTCAGCCACACAGGGCCTGTGGCTTGTAACCCTGGGTAGCTGGGTGCAGGTGCCACTTAAGACAGATGTTTCTCGAAGTTCCCCTGGCCATTCTGGGGCGCCGGAGAGCCCCAGGCCCTGGATCAGTGACAGCGGTGCCCCCCACTCCCCATTTCAGAGCACGGACCAGGGTTGGGCCAGACTGGTTTGCTGGGAGTCAGACTGGTTTGCTGGGAGTCAGACTAGTCTGCTGGGGGTCAGACTAGTCTGCTGGGGGTCACACCGGTTTGCTGGGGGTCAGACTAGTCTGCTGGGGGTCACACCGGTTTTCTGGGGGTCAGACTAGTCTGCTGGGGGTCAGACTAGTCTGCTGGGGGTCACACCGGTTTGCTGGGGGTCAGACTAGTCTGCTGGGGGTCAGACTAGTCTGCTGGGGGTCACACCGGTTTGCTGGGGGTCAGAGGCAGCTGGGCCAGGCCAGGCCCCGGCGGCCGGTGCGGGGGCGCGGGCTGCGGGGGGCGAGGCTGTTCTTCAGGCTCAACAGGTCGCCTCGGTGACGCCTCCCCCCCTCCGGGCTCTGCGGAGGCGCCGGTGCTGGGTCCGAGGCGGAGGGGATCCGGGAAGACGCGGTCAGTGTCAGGACTGCCGCGGCGGGCGGGGGGAGCGGGCGGGGCCGGGTCGAAGCCTCCGGAGGGAGAGGGTGCCGGGGCGCCCCACGGCGCGGCGGGAGGCGGAGAGGAACCGCGGGCGGGGCTGCGGCCCGGGCCCTCCCCGTCCAGCCTGTGCGATCCCCGGCCGCTGCACCCTCCTCTGCCCGCCCCTCCATCGGTCCCTCCGTCCATCCGCCAGCCCCGGTCCGGGGCCTACCGTCCGCCGGGCGCCCTCTCCCTCCCCGGCCGGCCAGTCCCCCGTCCGCCGCCCCTCTCTCCCAGTCCCTCCCTCCCTCCCTCCCTCCCTCATTCCTGGCTGCTGGCGGGAGGAGGAAGGGCTTCGAGGGTTTGAACGCGCTCTGGCCAGGGAGCCCGCCGCTGCCGGGCCTGGGTCCAGTTTAGGCAAATCTGGCCGAACGGGGCACCTCCGCGGCCACTGGGGGGTCCCTGCAGCCCGGCCAGGAGCCCCCCAGCCCGGCCATCAGCCCCCAGCCCCCAGCCCAGCCAGGAGCCCCCAGCCCGGCCAGGAGCCCCCAGCCCGGCCAGAAGCCCCCAGCCCAGCCAGAAGCCCCAGCCCCCAGCCCAGCCAGGAGCCCCTATTATGGCCCAGGAGCCCCCAGCCCGGCCAGAAGCCCCCAGCCCAGCCAGGAGTCCCAGCCCCCAGCCCGGCCATCAGCCCCCAGCCCCCAGCCCAGCCAGGAGCCCCCAGCCCGGCCAGAAGCCCACAGCCCAGCCAGGAGTCCCAGCCCCCAGCCCGGCCATCAGCCCCCAGCCCCCAGCCCAGCCAGGAGCCCCCAGCCCGGCCAGAAGCCCACAGCCCAGCCAGGAGTCCCAGCCCCCAGCCCGGCCATCAGCCCCCAGCCCCCAGCCCAGCCAGGAGCCCCCAGCCCGGCCAGGAGCCCCCAGCCCAGCCAGAAGCCCCAGCCCCCAGCCCGGACAGAAGCCCCAGCCCCCAGCCCGGACAGAAGCCCCAGCCCCCAGCCCGGACAGAAGCCCCAGCCCCCAGCCCGGCCAGGAGCCCCCCAGCCCCCAGCCCGGACAGAAGCCCCAGCCCCCAGCCCGGACAGAAGCCCCCAGCCCAGCCAGAAGCCCCAGCCCCCAGCCCAGCCAGGAGCCCCCAGCCCGGCCAGGAGCCCCCAGCCCAGCCAGAAGCCCCAGCCCCCAGCCCAGCCAGGAGCCCCCATTATGGCCCAGGAGCCCCCAGCCCCCAGCCCGGCCAGGAGCCCCCCAGCCCCCAGCCCGGCCAGGAGCCCCCCAGCCCCCAGCCCGGCCAGGAGCCCCCCAGCCCGGCCAGAAGCCCCCAGCCCCCAGCCCAGCCAGGAGCCCCCAGCCCAGCCAGGAGCCCCCCAGCCCCCCAGCCGGCCAGGAGCCCCCCAGCCCGGCCAGGAGCGCGGGCCGGCGGGCGGGGCGGAGGCTGCGGCGCTGGCGCCGGGATCGGGGACCGGGGACCGGGGACCGGGGACCGGGGACCGGGGACCGGGGACCGGGGACCGGGGACCGGGGACCGGGGACCGGGGACCGGGGACCGGGGACCGGGGACCGGGCACGGGGCCGCCCCCGCCGCGCCCCCAGCCTGAGCGGGCGGCCCCGCCGGGCATCACGGGGCGGGGCGCGGCCAGGGGCGGCCTCGGGGCACAACTTGTTGGGGGCGGGCCCGGCGCCGCTATTGTCTGCGCGCTCGGCGGGCCGGGCGGGAGGAGCCGGAGGAGGGGCCGGAGCGGCGGGTCCCGGGCGGCGGGGCCGGAGGAGGGGCCGGGGCCGGAGGAGGGGCCGGGGCCGGAGCGGCGGGGCCGGGGCCGGAGGAGGGGCCGGAGGAGGGGCGGCGGGGCCGGAGGAGGGGCCGGGGCCGGAGCGGCGGGTCCCGGGCGGCGGGGCCGGAGGAGGGGCCGGGGCCGGAGGAGGGGCCGGGGCCGGAGGAGGGGCCGGGGCCGGAGGAGGGGCCGGGGCCGGAGGAGGGGCCGGGGCCGGAGGAGGGGCCGGGGCGGCGGGGCCGGAGGAGCGGCCGGGGCCGGGGCCGGGGCGGCGGCGGGAAGAGCGGACGGAGCGGCGGAGGATGCCGGCGGCGGCGGCGGCGGGGCCCGGGCTGCCGGGCGGGGACGCGGCCCGCGCGGGGAGCTGCCCGCCGGGCTGGGCGGGCGGCGGGGCGGGCGGGCGGCCGCGGGGCTTCCAGCACCACAAGCGCGTGGGCCCCTACCTGGTGGGCAGCCGCAAGCTGGGCGAGGGCTCCTTCGCCAAGGTGCGCGAGGGCCTGCACCTGCCGACCGGCGAGAAGGTGGGCGGCCGCGCGCGTGTGCGTGTGTGCGTGTCCGTGTGTCCGTCCCGGCGCGGGCGCGGCCCGGAGCGCCGCCCGGAGTCGGCCCGGTGGCCCCGGGAGGGCGCCGCCTGGCGGACACGGCGGCCGGGGCTCCGGCCTGGGGGGGGGAGCCGGGCGGGGTGCGGGCGCCTCGGGGGGCAGCGGCGGACCGGCCCGCCTTCGGGGACCCCAGAGGCGCCCCCCCGGGCCCCGGGGAAGGCGGGGCTCCACCTGCGCCGGCGGCGGGCAAGTTTTCCCGCCCAGGCCCGCCTCCCCGCGGCCCGCGGGAGGGCCGCTCCGCTCCGGCCGGTACGGGGTGCGGGGCTGGGGGCTTCGGTTTCCCGCCCCCCCCCACCCCGTCCCTCATCCCCATCCCCCACCCCCATCCCTACCCCCTCCCTCTCCCCTCCCCACCCCCCCTCCCCTCCCGGGGCTCCCGGCCGCCGCCCCGCGGAGGGAGTCGGTGTGAACTCCCGCCGGCGGCCGGAGGCCTGAGTGTAACTTGGATCCGGGGAAGAGCCCAGGACTGTGGTGACTCCGGAGGCGCAGCCCGGGTCCCCCTGATGGCGAGGCCGCCCCCCCCCCCCCGCGATGCTCGGTCCCCGCTCCCGGCCTCCGGCTGGGCCCCCCCGGGCTGGTGGGCGCTGCCGCGGCCCCGCGCCCAGAGGCGGCAGTGTAGGGGGACGGAGGGCGGGTGTCTGGGCTCCCTACCCGCCTTCCCACCTCGGACCTGGGTCTGTGCCAGCCGGGAGCCCGGGGTGCTGTGCGGGGAGCCCGGGGTGCTGTGCGGGAGCCCGGGGTGCTGTGCGGGGAGCCCGGGGTGCTGTGCGGGAGCCCGGGGTGCTGTGCGGGGAGCCCGGGGTGCTGTGCGGGGGGCCCGGGGTGCTGTGCGGGGAGCTCGGGGTGCTGTGCCGGGAGCCCGGGGTGCTGTGCGGGAGCTCCCTCCGGGCCCCACTGAGCCCGGGAACCCTGCACTGAGCGGCCCCCTGGCCTCCCGCCCGGCGCCTCCAGCCTTTGTGCGGCCGGGAGGAGGGAGGGGGAGGAGGAGGAGGGAGGGGAGCCGGCAGGGAGTCCTCGCTGTGCCTCTCGCTGGAATTTCCGTGCAGAGTGCAGAGCGGGAGCAGCCTTCAAAGAAGGCGCCATCCCAGTGAAACTTGCTCTGGCCCGGGGGCAGCAGGCCCAGTCACAGGTGGGTTCCCGCCCGGGGGCGGGGGGCCCAGGCCTGGTAACCCCAGGCTCACTGCCTGTCCTGCTGTGTGAGCTCATGTGGGCCAGGGAGGGAGGAGGAGCCTCATTCTCGTTCCAAACTGTAGGGTTCGGCTGCTTGTGTAGTTTTGCGTGAAACTTGGTGAGGGGAGAGGCTGTAGGCGGACAGCGAGGGCCGAGGTCCCGGCACCTGACCTCCCTGCGGGCCGGCTGCCTCGGCCTCTCCCCTTGCCCGGTGTTGGCGGGTCTGTCCTGGCGCCCGCTCCATGGCCTGGCTGTTGGCACTCAGCTGCCTGGGTTCCAGGGCTCGGTGCGGGCACACTGGCATGCCTGGGGGTGGCTGTGGAATTGCCGTGCAGGACCGGGAGGTGGATCGGTGAGGGGCCGGTGCTCAGGGCGTAGGCGCAGGCCGTGAGTTCCCTGCCGGCTCTTCTCCAGCCCCAGCGCCGTGAGAACCGTGAGAAACTGGGTCCTGCTCTGTAATTGCCAGCTGTCCAGGAGTAGTGGGTGTGGCTCAGCCTGATCTCCCCCTCCAGCACCTCTGGTGCCCCAGGAGCATTCGGGGCTGGGCAGGTGGCGGAGATGGAAATGCTCGTGTGTGTGTGTGTGTGTGTGTGTGTGTGTGTGTGTGTGTTTGTGTGTGTGAGAGTGTGTATGAGTGTGTGTGAGTGTGTGTGTAAGAGTGTGTGTATTTGTGTTTGTGTGAGTGTGTGTGTATGTGTGTGTGTGTGAGTGTGTGTTTGTGTGAGTGTGTGTGTGAGTGTTTGTGTGTTTGTGTGAGTGTGTGTTTGTGTGTGAGAGTGTGTGAATGTGTGTGTGTGAGTGTGTGTAAGTGTGTGTATTTGTGTGAGTGTGTGTGTATATGTGTGTGTGTGAGTGTGTGTTTGTCTGTATGAGTGTGTGTGTGTGTGTTTGTGTGAGTGTGTGTATATATGTGTGTGTGTGAGTGTGTGTTTGTGTGAGTGTGTGTGTGTGTGTGAACTTAGTGCAGGTTTAAAAAGACAGCGGCATCTCCCATGGCTGTGGGAATTGCTGGTCCAGGTGACAAGCGACCGCTTTTCTGGCCTTCACGGAGGCTCCAGCCTCACCTCCGCGGTCAGGAGGCCGGTTCCCTGCTGCCTGCGGGACCTGCTCCTGGGAGCCCTGGGCTGGAGGGCCCCGGGGCTGGGAGAGGGATGGAGGGAAAGGAGCCCGTGGCCCGTGGCCCGTGGCCCGTGGCCCGTGGCTGGCAGGTTTGTCCTCCGCTCTGCTCTGCGGTGAAGCACTCTGCTAACGGCTGTAACACAGGAGTTCGCTTGGCCTGTGACCCTCCTAATGGGCAGGTCTCCGCCAGGCTGAGACCGGGTTGGTGACCGGAGGAGGGAACAGGGTCAGAAAGTCAGATTTTGAACAGTCTCCTCTGTGGCTTTGAGACCCAGGGCCCAGGTGCCGAGCAGGAGGATCGCGTGATGACTGCAGACCCGGAGGGGCTGTGCCCCCGCCCTGCCACGGCTCCGGGGCCGCAGGATGCACAGTTCGGGGGCGTTTAGGACATAGTCACCGAGATCTGTTTTCAGTGATTGGAGAGAGAGAGAAACATTGATGTGAGAGCGGAGCATTGATGAGTTGCCTCCAGTTCACATCCCGGCCAGGGATCGAACCCACAGCCCAGGTGTGTGCCCTGACGGGGAGCTGAACCTGCCCCCAGCCAGAGCTGCCGCACGTTTAGAAGGAACTGACGCGGTGTGGTCCGAAGGGCTCAGGGCGGAGGTGGCGCATCGGGGAGCTGGTCCCCGGCTGCCCCTGGAGCTCAGCCAGGGCCGTCCCGCTCCATGATGGACTCTGAGCGCTGGGTGGGGGTGGGGCCTGATCGCTGAAGGCGCCGATATGTTTTGTTCTAGCCTTCGGTTAAAACAGCCTGTTTATCGCTGCCAGCGGAGCGAGCTGCGTGGGGACTAAAAATAACAGCAGCTGCTGAGGGAGTCGCTAACGGCGTGAGTGGCTCCCGCCACCGTTACCTGCGTGGCGCTTCCAAATATACCCCCTTCCACGTGGCGCTTCTAAAAATACCCCCTTCCACGTGGCGCTTCTAAAAATACCCCCTTCCACGTGGCGCTTCTAAAAATACCCCCTTCCGGCGTGGCATTTCTAAAAATACCCCCTTCCACGTGGCGCTTCTAAAAATACCCCTCAGCCGAGCACGGAGCACCACTCACGTACGGGACCTTGGGCAGAGCTGTGTCAGCCAGTGTTTCCGGACAAACGTGCTCAGCCTGCAGTGCTGTTTGTATTGTGGATGCTGGGAACTGCGGGCCCCGCTCTGAGGAGGGACAGCTGTGCAGAGAACGGGTTCCGTCAGCCGGAGGGACACCTGTGCAGAGAACGGGGTTCCGTCAGCCGGAGGGACAGCTGTGCAGAGAACGGGTTCCGTCAGCCGGAGGGACAGCTGTGCAGAGAACGGGTTCCGTCAGCCGGAGGGACACCTGTGCAGAGAACGGGGTTCCGTCAGCCGGAGGGACAGCTGTGCAGAGAACGGGTTCCGTCAGCCGGAGGGACAGCTGTGCAGAGAACGGGGTTCCGTCAGCCGGAGGGACACCTGTGCAGAGAACGGGTTCCGTCAGCCGGAGGGACAGCTGTGCAGAGAACGGGTTCCGTCAGCCGGAGGGACAGCTGTGCAGAGAACGGGTTCTGTGAGTCGGAGGGACACCTGTGCAGAGAACGGGGTTCCGTCAGCCGGAGGGACACCTGTGCACAGTATGGGGTTCCGTCAGCCGGAGGGACACCTGTGCAGAGAACGGGTTCCGTGAGCCCTCGGCCGGCTCGTGGCCACAGGGCCGGTGGCCTTGGCCCGCCCGTGCCCCCGCCCCCCGAAGTGCTTGTGAGTGACGGGTGGGCACTGCCCGTCACGGGGCTCTTAGTGCTCAGTGGCAGCCTGGCCTCGGACCTCAGAGGGTGCCGAGTGCTGCCCGCACAGGAGGTGCCAGAGCCGGAGGTCACCCAGAGGGCGGGGCGGGGGCTGTGTCCGCCCCGGAGATGGGAGGCCGGAGCCCTCTGGGGTGAGGGCGCCAGTGTCACGTACCTGGGAAGACACTGTCCCCATTGCTCATGGTAACGGAGCGACCCGCTCTCCGGGCGGCTGGCATCCCACAGGTCGCGCGGCCACGGCCCGGTGCTGCCTGGTGCCACGCTCTCGGTGGGCTCCTGGCAGGATGGATGGAGGGAGGGACCACGGGCCCGGCAGAGCGTGTGTGGCCTGTGCTTTGCCGATGCTGCCCGTGCCGCGGGCCGTGTTTGGGGTCCACTGGGCCCACCAGGCTGGGGTATGCCTTTAGATGACCGCGCCCAGGAGCCTGGGGACGGGAGCCCGCCTGGTTATGGCGAGGAACGTGGCGCTCGGCGCCTGTCGGAGCGGCTCTCGGCGGCAGGAGCAGGGGCGCGGCAGAGCGTCTTCCCTGCTGCGGACACAGCAGCGTTCGTGGGCCCAGGACTGAAGGGTCCCGGGTTCGATTCCGGTCCAGGGCACGGCCCTGGTCAGTATGTGCGGGAGGCAGCCAGTCCACGTGTCTCTCACATCAGTCTCGGTCTCCCTTCATAAAAAGGTCGCGATCTTCTGGTCTTTGCTGAGGTTGGGGGCCCCCCCCCCCCCCCCCTGCCGTGCTCTCTTAGTCCACGGTCCTGTTCTGGGCAGCAGGCAGCCCGGTGTGGCCCTGGGTGCCCCTGAGCGGCCAGGTGTGACCTTTTCCTTGCTCTGTGTCCCCCCAGGTGGCCATCAAGGTCATCGACAAGAAGAGGGCCCGGAAGGACACCTACGTCACCAAGAACCTGCGGCGGGAGGGCCAGATCCAGCAGATGATCCGCCACCCCAACATCACGCAGCTGCTGGACATCCTGGAGACGGAGAACAGCTACTACCTGGTCATGGAGCTGTGCCCCGGCGGCAACCTCATGCACCGCATCTACGAGAAGCAGCGGCTGGAGGAGGCCGAGGCGCGCCGCTACATCCGCCAGCTGGTCTCCGCCGTGGAGCACCTGCACCGAGCCGGCGTGGTGCACCGGTGAGGGGCGGCCGGCCGTGCCCGCTGTCTGCGCGCCGGGTCCGAAGGCACCGGGCCCGGCTGCAGCCTGCCGCTGCCCCTTCGTCGTTGGGGGGCCCCGGGTTACGGGGTGTTACCACTCTGACCCTCCGTCTCTTCTATGAAACGGGAACAGTGATGCTCAGTGCATGGTGCATGTGGGGAGTAACGTGTAGACGGCGATGAGTTCATGTGTGGGGAAAGCTTGGAACATAGTCATCGACATGTAAGCCTGTGACCTGTGTGGAAGCGTGCACAGTCTGGGCGGTGCCTGTGATCTGTGTGGAAGCGTGCACAGTCTGGGCGGTGCCTGTGATCTGTGTGGAAGCGTGCACAGCCTGGTGCCTGTGATCTGTGTGGAAGCGTGCACAGTCGGACGGTGCCCGTGATCTGTGTGGAAGCGTGCACAGTCTGGCCCGGTGCCCGTGACCTGTGTGGAAGCGTGTACAGTCTGGGCAGTGCCTGTGACCTGTGTGGAAGCGTGCACAGTCTGGGCGGTGCCTGTGACCTGTGTGGAAGCGTGCACAGCCTGGCCTATAGTAGGTCCACCGCCCCTATAGTAGGTCTGTCACCCCCATAGTAGGTCCGTCACCCCCATGGTAGGTCCACCGCCCCCATAGTAGGTCCGTCACCCCCATAGTAGGTCCGTCACCCCCATAGTAGGTCCGTCGCCCCCATAGTAGGTCCGTCGCCCCCATAGTAGGTCTGTTACCCCCATAGTAGGTCCACCGCCCCCATAGTAGGTCCGTCACCCCCATAGTAGGTCCGTCGCCCCCATAGTAGGTCTGTCACTCCCATAGTAGGTCCGTCACCCCCATGGTAGGTCCACCGCCCCCATAGTAGGTCCGTCACCCCCATAGTAGGTCCGTCACCCCCATAGTAGGTCCACCGCCCCCATAGTAGGTCTGTTACCCCCATAGTAGGTCCACCGCCCCCATAGTAGGTCCGTCGCCCCCATAGTAGGTCTGTCACCCCCATAGTAGGTCTGTCACCTTCATAGTAAGTCCGTCACCCCCATAGTAGGTCCACCGCCCCCATAGTAGGTCCATCACCCCCATAGTAGGTCCGTCACCCCCATAGTAGGTCCGTCACCCCCATAGTAGGTCCATTGCAGGCACTTGGGATTGCGAGTCCCAGGGAACCCTGTGGGCGGCCCCCGTGGCTCAGCCCCTTTCCGCAGGGGCAGGGGGGCGGGCGGTTCTGCCGCTTCCAGCACGGCTGACGCTGTTGCTGCTGTCGTTCCAGAGACCTGAAGATCGAGAACTTGCTGCTGGACGAGGACAACAACATCAAGCTAATCGGTACGGCTCTGCGTTCTGAGTGTGGTTATCGGTACGGCTCTGCCTTCTGAGTGAGTGTGGTGATTGGTACAGCCCTGCGTTCTGAGTGTGGTGATCGGTACGGCTCTGATTTCTGAGTGTGGTGATCGGTACAGCCCTGCGTTCTGAGTGTGGTGATCGGTACGGCTCTGATTTCTGAGTGTGGTGTGGTCATCCTTTGCGTGTTATGCTGTCCGTGGCCACTGGTCCATTCCTGGATTCCTGACACGGACTCCTGGCCTATTCTGGTCTCTGGAAAGTCCTACATCGCCGCCTCTGCCCCCAACAGTGAAGCATGGCTTTGACAGGAAGATGAGTTTTAAAAATAAGCTATGTATTGTATATAAAAGCCTAAGCAACTGTTACCACCAGTCAATGAACGACCAGTTGACCGGTTGCTATGATGCGCACTGACCACCAGGGGGCAGGCACTCAATGCAGAAGCTGCCCCTGCCCCCTGGTGGTCAGTGCACTCCCACAGCCAACCTCCTGTGGCCAGCGGCCAGCAAACCTCCCACGGTCCCTCCCCCCGGCCAGCCGGCCCCCGAACGGCCTCCATTGCCGGCCAGGTCGAGGGACCCACCTGTGTATGATGTCACGGACCAGCCTCTGTTTAAACATAACCAGGAAGGCAGCGAACTGTCGAGTGGCCGTAACGAACGTCACAGCCCCAAGTAATCGCAGGATTACGTCCGGCGTCAGCTTCGGCAGGAGTCAGGCGAGCCGGACTCTGGGTTTTTATTCTGAGTGACCCTGAGGCCTCGTAAGGGGCGGGGGTTGTCTGGTTTGGGGTGTGATTTAGCCGTGCCTGGCTCCTCTTGTCAGTGAACGCCGCCACTGGGAACCGGAGAACCAGTCTCCCTTCTCTGTTTTTTTTTGGGGGGGGAATTTTTTTTATTGATTTCAGAGAGGAAGGGAGAGATAGAAACATCCATGATGAGAGAGGATCCTGGAGCGGCTGCCTCCTGCCCTCCCCACACTGGGGATGGAGCCTGCACCCCGGGCCTGTGCCCTGACCGGAATCAAGCCCTGACCTCCGGGTTCTAGGTTAGCGCTCAACCGCTGATCCACACTGTCCGGCCCGGGCGCTCAGGCTGGTTTTCAGACAGAAAGCATTTCCGTGTGGAGCTCAGGGTGACTTTTCTGGTAAAAGTGGTCCCGGCCTCCCCTGTCTGCCCCTCAGGGCCCTGCAGGACGGGGCCGGGCGGCCTCAGGCCCTGCGAGCAGGTCTCCTCCCACATCTGAGACTGCTCTGGGGGACCTGGGCCAGGTGAGGGCGGTCTGGGCTAGGGGAGGGGGCCCTGGGTCAGGTGAGGGGGTCCTGGGCCGGGGGAGGGGGCCTGGGCCAGGGGAGGGGGGTCTGGGCCGGGGGAGGGGTCCTGGGCCAGGTGAGGGGTCTAGGCCAGGTGAGGGGGGTCTGGGCCGGGGAAGGGGGTCTGGGCCAGGGGAGGGGGCCAGGGTCAGGGAAGGGGGCCTGGGCCGGGGGAGGGGACTGCAGGGGCTGCTGGGCCTGGGAAGAAAGGGGCCAGGGGAGGGGCCTGGGCCAGGTGGCGGGGGCCTGGGCCGGGTGAGGGGGCCTGGGCCAGGTGAGGGGACCCTGGACCAGGGGAGGGAGGCCTGGACCAGGGGAGAGGGGCCTGGGCCAGGGGAGGGGGCCTGGGCCAGGGGAGGGGGGCCTGGGCCAGGGGAGGGGGGCCTGGACCAGGGGAGGGGGGCCTGGGCCAGGGGAGGGGGGCCTGGGCTGGGTGACGGGGGCCTGGGCCAGGGGAGGGGGGCCTGGACCAGGTGACGGGGGCCTGGGCCAGGGGAGGGGGGCCTGGGCTGGGTGACGGGGGCCTGGGCCAGGGGAGGGGGGCCTGGACCAGGTGACGGGGGCCTGGGCCAGGGGAGGGGGGCCTGGGCCGGGTGAGGGGGGGCCTGGGCCAGGGGAGGGGTTCCCGGGCCGGCAGAGGGGGCCTGGGCCAGGTGAGGGGGGTCTGGGCCAGGGGAGGGGGCCAGGGTCAGGGAAGGGGGCCTGGGCCAGGTGAGGGGGCCTGGGCCAGGGGAGGGGAGCCTGGGCCAGGTGATGGGGCCCTGGGTCAGGTGAGGGGGGGTCTGGGCCAGGGGAGGGGGCCAGGGTCAGGGAAGGGGGCCTGGGCTGGGTGAGGGGGGCCTGGGCCAGGGGAGGGGGGCCTGGGCCAGGTGAGGGGGCCTGGGCCAGGGGAGGGGGGCCTGGGCCAGGTGAGGGGGGTCTGGGCCGGGGGAGGGGGCCTGGGCCAGGTGAGGGGGCCCTGGGCCAGAAGAGGGGGCCTGGGCCAGGTGATGGGGCCCTGGGTCAGGTGAGGGGGGTCTGGGCCAGGGGAGGGGGCCAGGGTCAGGGAAGGGGGCCTGGGCCGGGGGAGGGGACTGCAGGGCTGCTGGGCCTGGGAAGAAAGGGGCCAGGGGAGGGGCCTGGGCCGGGTGAGGGGGGTCTGGGCCAGGGGAGGGGGCCAGGGTCAGGGAAGGGGGCCTGGGCCAGGGGAGGGGGGCCTGGGCCAGGTGATGGGGGTTTGGGCCGGGGGAGGGGGCCTGGGCCAGGTGAGGGGGCCCTGGGTCAGGTGAGGGGGGTCTGGGCCAGGGGAGGGGGCCAGGGTCAGGGAAGGGGGCCTGGGCCGGGGGAGGGGACTGCAGGGGCTGCTGGGCCTGGGAAGAAAGGGGCCAGGGGAGGGGCCTGTGCCGGGGGGGGGTTCTGGGCCAGATGATGGGGCGGAGTCGGGAGCAGAGGAGCAGAGGGGTTCCAGGGAAAAACAAACAAAGGAGGAGGTAACGCCTGAACACAGCTCTCGGGGGGCTGGCAGTCCCTGTGGGGTTCGGGTTTTCACCCCCAGCCCCGAGCTGGGGACTCAGACCTTGAGCGTCCCTCCCGCACAGCCCCCCGCGGCCGGGCGGCAGCGTGTGGCACGGTCACGGACTCGTCTGCGGGCGCCTTCTCGTTTCCCACCGCACCCATAGCCACGCGCTCCGCGGCGGGGCCGTGGGCAAGTCACGGAGGAAATACCGACAGATGGCGGGAGCAGGTGTAAACCCTGGCCGGCCGCGCAGTGGTTGAGCATCAGCCCTCACACGGAAGGGTCTCGGGTTCGATGCCCGCCCAAGGGCACGTCCCTGGGTTGCAGGTTTGATCCCTGACCCTGGTCAGGGCGTGTGGGAGGCAGCCGATCGATGCGTCTCTCTCACACGGATGTCTCTCCCCTCCCGCCTCCTCTCCGCTCGTGATGGGAACGTGCCCTGCGGTTGGGGGAGCTGGTCTCCGAGTGCAGCCGCTGTCCCTCCGAGCCCGGCTGCCGGCCTCCCCGGGGGCGGGAGCCGTGATCTTTCCCTCCGAGTTCAAAGCAGGAGCCGGGACCTGATCCCGAGCCAACAGAGACGGAGGCGAGACACCACGAGGCAGAACGCGGCTCGCCGGCCGATGCCTGCCTTTAAGGTCAAAGGTGAACGCAGCCCCAAGGGCGGCACTGGTACCAGCAGGTGCCCGGCTGTGCCCTCCTCTCCCAGGTGTCCGTCATCCTGGAGCAAAGCTCTGCCAGCTGGTGGCTCAGTGGTTGAACCTGTGAGCCTGGAGGTCAGGGTTCAATTCCCGATCAGGCACAGGCCCGGGTTGCATGCTCCATCTCCAGTGGGGGGGCGTGCAGGAGGCAGCGATCCATGACTCATCACTGATGTTTCTCTCTCTCCCCCTTCCTCTCTGAAATCGATAATAAACATATATATTTTTTTAAAGCCTGTGCTCATTCAGCCCGTTCTCAGGCTCTTCCTGGCGTTTTCTGGCCGCACCCGCCGTGCCGTCTGAGTCACGGGGTGTATCTCCCCCCCCTCCCCCTTCCCATCACCCTGTGTTCCCGTCCTGGAGCGTTGTCAGCAGGCTGAGGAAATGCAGACATTCAGCCGAAAAGTCAGCTCTGGGTGGTGGGTGTGCTACTCAGGGCCGCGCGGACACCAGCCCGGACAGCCCGTGCCCCCAGGCTTCCCAGTCGCCGCTCGAGGCGGGTCCCTGTGCCCCCACGGGTCCTGGGGTGCAGGTGTGGGCGGCGGGGTCTGCAGGGAGGCCTGCCAGCAGGGGTGTCTGGGCGAGCCGGGCGGCCCGGGACCGGTGTCTGCGCCGTGTCTGCAGCCGCTGGGCGGGGGTGGGAGGGTTCCCCTCCTGTGCCGTCGTTCCCGCCCCCCTCACATCCCGGGTTCTGATCGGAGCGTCTGTCCCCGTTGCAGACTTCGGCCTGAGCAACTGTGCGGGGATCCTGGGCCACTCGGACCCGTTCAGCACGCAGTGCGGCAGTCCCGCCTACGCCGCACCCGAGCTGCTGGCCCGGAAGAAGTACGGCCCCAAGATCGACGTCTGGTCCATGTGAGTCCCCGGGAGCCAGCGCCCTCCGGGGGCGGGTCTGCGGGCCCCTTCGCGATCGACGCCGGAGGTGTGATGAGAGCGCAGGCTCCCGTGGGGACTCCCGAGTGCAGGCTCCGGGACAGGTGTCTGATGATCCTTCTAAAAATATTTTTTTTCTTTTTAAAGAAAAATATACTTTATTGATTTTTTTTTTTTTTACAGAGAGGAAGGGAGAGGGATAGAGAGTTAGAAACATCGATGAGAGAGAAACATCGATCAGCTGCCTCCTGCACACCCCACACTGGGGATGTGCCCGCGACCAAGGTACATACCCTTGACCGGAATCGAACCCGGGGCCTTTCAGTCCCCAGGCCGACACTCTATCCACTGAGCCAAACCGGTTTCGGCATAAAAAATATATTTTTATTGATTTCAGAGAGGAAAGGAGAAGGGGAGAGAGAAACATCAATGATGAGACAGAGTCATGGATGGGCTGCCTCCTGCACGCCCCATCCTGGGGGTGGAGCCCACAACCCAGGAATCAAACCGCGACCTCTCGGTGGCTTAACCTGAGCCACGGGGGCCGTGCTTTAGGGCAGCTCTTAGAGGTGCAGACACCTCTGCGGCCATCCAGTGCCTGGCCCAAGCTGCTCCTGTGTGAGGCTGAGGTTCTGGAAGGTTCTGGAAAGGCACAGCACAGGGAGGCCGCCCAGCCCCGCCCTCCTCGTCCTGCTGTCCGGGCCTCACTCTGCTCTCGCTCTCTCAGAGGCGTGAACATGTACGCCATGCTGACCGGGACCCTGCCCTTCACCGTGGAGCCGTTCAGCCTGCGGGCTCTGTACCAGAAGATGGTGGACAAGGAGATGAACCCGCTGCCCACGCAGCTGTCCACAGGTGCGCGCTGCGCCGCCCGCCACGGGCCTCCCTGGGGCGCCGACTGGGCCTCCCCCGGGGCCGGGCGCGGGCTGGGGCGCGGGCTCGGTTTTGCATGGCGGGGGTGGGGGTGGGGTGAGGACCAGCGTGGCCCGAGGTCTCCCCCGCAGCTGAGACTGGTCTCCAGCATTGGGCCTCCCAGCTCTGGACGGCCACGCGGTCACCTCCTGCTTCCTTCCCGTTAGGATTCCACCCAAGGCCTCTGTCCCCTTCACACGCAGAGAAGGCTCTGGGATAAGGTGACCAGACGTCCTCCTCTTAGCAGGACAGTCCCAATTTTTAACAGTTTGTCCCGCGTCCCGGGCGTTTGGGACTTCTTTAAAACGCAGAGGGATGCGGGACAAATGGTTCAAAATCGGGCCGTCTGGTCGCCTTACTCTTGGCGCCTCCTGCCGGCGAGAGTGCTTTAAACGCACCTGCTCACAGCGTCGCTCTGAGAAGCATTTGTGATCACACCCTGTTGTGTCCCCCCACCCCAGTCCCCTGTGGAAGTGTGGGTTTGAGTTGAGGCTGTCTTTGTTTTGCTCTTTGAGTGTCTGAGGGACAAAGGCTTTTATTTTTATTTTTTAATATATTTTATTGACTTTTTTTTTTACAGAGAGGAAGGGAGAGGGAGAGAGAGTTAGAAACATCGATGAGAGAGAAGAATCGATCAGCTGCCTCCTGCACACCCCCTACTGGGGATGTACCCGCAACCAAGGTGCATGCCCTTGGCCGGAATCGAACCTGGGACCCCTCGGTCTGCAGGTCCAGGCTCTGTCCTCTGAGCCACACCGGTCAGGGCGGACAGAGGCTGTTAGATACGGTGAGACGGGCCGTCGGGTGAGGGCAGTACACACCCACGGCGGTGGCTCCCGTTCGGGCAGACTGTCCGTCCCGGGTCTGGTTTCTGAGCCGGTAAACCATACAGTGCGTTCTTTGTTTGGCCACAATCCGCGTTCCCCGTCTCAGGTTGGTGCTGACAAGCATCGGACTGGCTCCTTGGCATAAGCTCAGCTTTCTTAGTCACAGCAGGTGAGGCGTGCAGCTACAAAAAGCAATTATTCCTCTTCACCTTATGAAAAATCAGTCGTGGAAAGATGGCGTTTTCTTCCGCGGCTGTCACGTACCTTGCTTTTGAGTGTATAACCGTCCATGACGCGGACCCTGAATTTGTTTGCAAAGTGGAGTCCCCGGGGAAAAGCACTCTGGCCTGAAGTGGCCTGGCTTGTCCACACTCGCACCTTTGCCGAGGAGGGGTGGGGTGGGCACAGAGGCGGTGCCTGTGCAGGGGGGCGGTCGTGCTCAGGGGAGACGGGTGCAGCTCGGAGCTAGGAAATGTGGACAGATCGTTACGTGGAGGTTTGGAGCTTTCAGGAACACTGGGCGCGCCTCCTTCCCCCTCCCTCGGACTTCTGGTCACCCGGTTCCTCCTTGAGGCGTGTCCTGCACCAGCGCCAGGCGAAGGACATGCCAGGCGCCAGGACAGACTCGCTCGCCTGCACAGACGTACATACAGCCGGGAGGCAGATACACCTAAACAGGCAGCGGGAGGTCGGTGGTGTGAGAAAATCAGGCACAGCGGGGTGCGGAGCCGGAGAGCAAAGATGGTTACTTGTTTTTAAAATAGTTTATTGATTTTAAAGAGAGAGAGAGAAACACCGATGTGATAGGGCAATAGATCGGCCGCCTCCTGCACCCCCCACACTGGGGATGGAGCCCCAACCCGGGCCTGGGCCCTGACGGGGAATCGAACCCTGACCTCCTGGCTCCTGGGCAGAGCCGTGCCGGCTGGCCGGGCTGGCGAGAAGATCGTGGCCCCTTTGCTCTCGCGCCGTCGGGGAGTCTGAGGGGCCTTCCGAGGCCGGGCGGGACGGAGACACAGGCCCGGACGTCCAGCCCCCGCGCCTGGAGGAGCCGCTGTGGTGGACGGCCAGCCGGAGGTGTTCCCGGGGCTGGTCCTGGCATCACAATGAGCCCCTCTTTTTTAAAAAATATTTTAATTGATTTCAGAGAGAGGAAGTGGGAGAGAGAAACAGCAGTGATGGAGAGTCAGGATCGCAGGCCCCTGCCTGAGCCTCCGGTAACCGGGGTCGGGGCCAATGTCTCCCCAGGAGCCGTCAGCTTCCTGCGCTCCCTGCTGGAGCCGGACCCCGTGAAGAGGCCCAGCATCCAGCAAGCGCTGGCCAACCGCTGGCTGCACGAGAGCCACACGGGCCGGGTGCCCTGGGTCACCTACCCCAACAGGTGGGCCGCCGTGACCCTGCCCCTGCCCCTGCCCCTGCCCCTGCCCCTCCCCAGCAGGTAGGCCCCGCCCACCACCTCCCCAGCAGGTAGGTCCCGCCCACCACCTCCCCAGCAGGTAGGCCCCGCCCACCACCTCCCCAGCATGGCACATGGGCGGTTAGGGTAGCTCACCATCCCCTCCAGCTCTGTCTATGTGGCCTTTCCCTAATGGGAAGTCAGGTGAATGACCATGGGGGTGTCCCCGTGTCTGGGTCCCCCTCCGGGGCCTCGGTGGACTGTCCCCGTGTCTGGGTCCCCCTCCGGGGCCTCGGTGGACTGTCCCCGTGTCTGGGTCCCCCTCCGGGGCCTCGGTGGACTGTCCCCGTGTCTGGGTCCCCCTCCGGGGCCTCGGTGGACTGTCCCCGTGTCTGGGTCCCCCTCCGGGGCCTCGGTGGACTGTCCCCGTGTCTGGGTCCCCCTCCGGGGCCTCGGTGGACTGTCCCCATGTCCGGGTCCCCCTCCGGGCCTGGGGTTGGGGCGGGAGCTGACGTGGCCTGCCCGCAGGATCTCGCTGGCTGACCTGAGCCCCAGCGTGGTGCTGCACATGACCCAGCGGCTGGGCTACAAGAACAGTGACGTCGTCAACACGGTGCTGGCCAACCGCGCCTGCCACATCCTGGCTGTGTACGTGCTCCTCTGCAAGAAGCTGGAGCGCCACCTGTCCGGGGTGAGAGCCCGCGTGCGTGCCGGGCGGCCTGGGATGGGCTCCCGGCCGCGTCCGAGCACGAGTGCCGGCCTCACGGGTCAGCGTGGTTTCCTCTTCTCTGGTAGAAATCCGACGTGCAGGACAGCATCGGCTCCAAGGCCCCGCTCTGCCCCGGGGGCCGGAGCTGGCCCGGCCGGGAGCCCTGCGCGGTGAGGCCCTTCCCTGGATGCAGGCAGGAGGGCGGCGGGTGTGGCGGAGGGAGCCGGGGCAGGGGAGGAGGAAAAGGAAGGTTTCCACCGGACACAAACCCCTTCTCAGCTGTGGCCGAGCATCAGACGCCAGGCACTTAGACTGCGGTGCCCGGCCACACCCCCACCCGCCCGCCCGTCCACTCTGGGGTGCTGGGGCGCGGTCAGGATTCCACAGGCCGACGCTCAATCCGCTGAACCAAACCAGCTATGGCTGTAGCACACTTTTATTTTATTTTTAAAAAATATACTTTATTGATTTTTCACAGAGAGGAAGGGAAAGGAATAGAGAGCTAGAACCATCCATGAGAGAGAAACACCAATCAGCCGCCTCCTGCACACCCCCCATAGGGGATGTGCCCGCAACCAAGGTCCATGCCCGCAACCAAGGTCCATGCCTTGACCGGAATCGAACCTGGGACCCTCAGTGCACAGGCCCACGCGCTATCCACTGAGCCACACCGGTTTCGGCAGAGTGGCCTCATTTTAAATTATCAGGGAACACCGCCGGCCCTTTAAAAGCAGAGGCACACCCCTGCCCTCAGGCTCACGGGGACTCGCTGGGCCTGTGAGCCCCACTGCGAGGGCCTGGGGTTAGGGTCCAGCCGGGGGCGTGGAGTCCTGTCCCGTTCGGCCCTAACGGGGACGGGGGTGAAGGACGAAACATCCACGGCGGGTCTCATTCCAAAGTCTCTGACGCCTGAGCAGGAAGCTCCTGGTGGGCCGTGCTGCCGTGGGCAGCCGGCGGTGGTGCCGGGGGCCCGGTGCCGGGCTGGGCAGGGCGCCCGGGTGCCCTGGGTGTTGTTGCCGCGCTGGCACCGTCCCCAGGAGGCCTCGCTGTCTGAGGAGGCACTGACCTGCTTAGGCGGCTCCAGACGCCGTGCACCTCAGACGCAGGAGGAGCCGGGAGAGGAGGGCACGGCACCTGCAGCCATCCAGGGTGACGGGAGCTCGGTTTCTGTGTGATCGCTGGAGCGAATAACTCCGGGGGTGGGGGGGGAGAGGGTGGTGGTGAGGTGGGGCTGGTGGGGGAGAGTGGCAGGGGGCAGGATAGAGGGGCAGGTGGAAGGGGGTGGATAGAGGGACGGGGTGGATAGAGGGGCAGGTGGAAGGGGGTGGATAGAGGGACGGGGTGGATAGAGGGGCAGGTGGAAGGGGGTTGGATGGAGGGCCAGGGGGCGGGACAGAGGGGCAGGCAGGGGCGAGGGTGGGTAGCTGCAGGAATGAGCAGCAGGTGCAGCCTGGTGGATGGATGGCTGATGGTGTGGCTTCCCACAGGCCTCCCTGGACACGTGGCCACGGGACCTGGAGCTCCACGCGGAGCAGGTGAGAACGTGGGGTCGTGAGGATCAGCTGGAGCCTCCGGGGAAATAGCAGGAACCCTGTGTGCGCGCACGTGTGTGTGTGCGTGAGTGTGTGTGAGCGCGTGTGCATGTGTGTGAGTGTGTGTGAGCACGTGTGCGTGTGAGTGTGTGCGTGTGAGTGTGTGCGTGCGCGCGCACGTGTGTGCGTGCGTGTGTGTGCGTGTGTGTGTGTGCGTGTGTCAGGCCCAGCCCCCGGGGAGGGTCAGTCCACAGCCTCTGGACGCAGACCCCTCCCCAGGGCCCCCCCTCCCCCAGGCCCCTCTGTCTCCCCTCCCCTCCTTCCCGGCGGTTCAGCCCGGGTGCCGGGTGACCCTCCGCACCCAGGCTGCTGCTCTGCACGTCCCTCCTCCGCCAGAACCCTCCCCACCCTCCGACGGCGGGACCGAGCCCGGGCCCCCGACAGCCGACCTGCCCTCAGGTGCCCCCGCCTGGGCGCTGCCCCTGCCAGCTCCCTGTCAGTCCCCCTTCGCTCAGAGACCTCACCTTCAAAAGGCCAGAGGGGGGCGGAGCCGCTGGGGGGGGCGGAGCCGCTGGGGGGGGCGGAGCCGCTGGGGGGGACAGAGCCGCTGGAGGTCAGAGCCGCTGGGGGGGGCAGAGCCGCTGGGGGGGCAGAGCCTCTGGGGGGGCGGAGCCGCTGGGGGGCGGAGCCGCTGGGGGGGCCAGAGCCGCTGGGGGGGACAGAGCCGCTGGGGGGGACAGAGCCGCTGGGGGTCAGAGCCAGGGTGTCGCTCTCAGTGGGATGGGGGTCCCAGAGGCCCCTCTGCTTTGCCTTAGTCCGCCCGGATTGTTCTAGAATAATGGACCTTCCCGGGTGACCTTGGCCGCTGGAGCAGTGGCCAGGGGGGCGGGAGCCTGCGTGGCCCAGGCCGTGTGCGGCTCAGGCGTCCGCTTCTGACTGGCAGGACAGGAAGCCCAAGGAGCAGGAGAAGCAGGGGGCCCTCCCCCGGCCGGGCCCCCGGAAGCCGCCCGCCTCGCCCGCCACGCAGCTGCCGAGCGCGCGCGCCCCGCTGCGGGACGGCAGGCCCGACCGAGGTGGGTGCCGCGCCCGGCCGCCGCCCAGCCGCCCGGCGCCGCCCCTCCGCCCTCCCCTCACGGCGCCGTCTCTCCTGTGCAGATTCCTTCAGCTGCCGCAGCCTCTTCCGAAAAACCTCGGACCCCAGCTGCCTGGCCTCCGTGGAGTTCACGCCCGGCCCCCCGCCCCGGGCCCCCCCCGCGCCCCCCGCCCCGCCGCCCGGGAGCCCGCCCGCCCCGCAGACGCCCCTGCACCCCACGCTGGCCTCCTGGGCGCACGAAGAGAGCGGCCCCCCCGAGAGAGGGGGGCGTGGGTCCCGGGGCGGGCGGCCCCCAGCCCCTGGGGAGCCCCGGCTGTGGGAAGAGCCGGGGCCGCTTCCCCATGATGGGCATCGGGCAGATGCTGCGGAAGCGGCACCAGAGCCAGCAGCCGCCCGCGGACCGGCCGCCCGAGGCCAGCCTGCCCGCCCTGCCGCCCGCCGCCCCCGCCAGCCTGCCCTTCGACACGGCCCAGCCCGTCCAGGGCCGGTGCTGACCGGCGGCCGAGGACCGGGCACCGAGGCACGGCCCGTGCGGCTCCCACTGGGGGCCCCAGCCTGCTCCACCCGTCTGGCCTCAGGACCCGCCGATGCTGGGATTCCCCGCAGGGCGGGGTGGGGTAGGGCCAGGAGGGAGCACCCCTGCATCGGCCGCGGGCGTGCGGGTGACCAGGCCCCCGGACTGTGCCCTGTGTGCCTCTGGATCCCTCCCTTCGGCCAGGCCCCCGTCCTCCGGCCGCGGCCTCGGGGAGGACGGGCAGGAGCCGCGGCCGCGTGCCGGCCCCTCGCGGGCAGGGGCAGCCGGGCACTGACCGGCTGGCGGCGGGACCCTGCGAAGGCTCGTTACTGCCGAGAGGTCCCGCCGTTTCCCTCCGGTGAGACCTGCTGGTTGAGCCCTCGTCCGGAGTGGCTTGCTCTGCGGGAGGGGACACGAAGCCACAGCGTTCCAGACCTGTGGGGCTGGGAGTGCTCCCCGAGCGGCCTGCAGGGGACGAGGGGGCGTGGGGGTGAGGGATGAACAGGTGCGCGTGGTGGCTGGTGCCCCTGGACTGTCGGCGTGGCCTGCCCCTCGGAGGCGGAGCCTGGGGTTTGGAGAGAAGACGGGGACGGGGACGCGTCTGGAAGGCAGGCACCTCCACACCATTCAGGCGGTTCCCTCGCCGCCCGGTTCCGGCAGAGCCGCTCGGGGTCAGGGCCCGGCTCAGCACCGGGTCTCCTCAGAGGAGAGCAGCTCTGTCCCCGCCCCGCCCACGCCGCCCGCAAGACGGACCGGACGCCGCCTCCACGACCCCCCCTGTGCCCGGGGACCCCGTGCCTGAGCAGCGGGAAGAACTGGCCAGGCGGCCGGGCCTGAGTATGGGCAGCTCACACAGCGGCTGGAGGGACACCAGCCACCGGGCGGCCGCCCTGGGACATGCCCTCAAAGACCTGCCCGTCTGCATGGCGGCAGCGGGGCCGGGACACCTGTGCCCAGCCCGTCCGCCTGGGCGCGGGGAGGGCGTTTGCTGAGCCTGAGCCATCGCTGAGAGCCGTCCCCTCGCCTGGCGGACCAGCTGCGCCCCTCCAGCCGGTAGCAGGGAGTCGGGCTCCCGGTTGAGCTGCAGTTCCCTTGTCTGGCTTCGGTCTGGGTTCTGGAACATTCCGTTGGAAATAGAGCTTTGGAAGCCGAGAGAAGCATCTGGGAAAGGCCTGTTCATGGACACGCATCTGGTCTGTGTCCAGCTCCCTGGATGAGCGTGTCCCTGGGGCTGTCCCTGTCCTGGCGCCTCCCAAGCGGCCACCCACCGGGCCATGCCGGTGACCTCCACTGTGAACTCCGACCTCAGCCGCTGCTCCGCCGGCCAGGGGCTCGCCTGTGAGTGTGAGTGAGCGCCTGTCCGATCGATCGATCGATCGGGGCGGTCGGTGAGAGGGAGTGTCTGTTGCTTTGTTGTTTGTGTTTGTACGAGAACCGGACTCCCGGTCGGTACAGCTGTCCGTGACCCGGGCCTGTCTGCATGTGTGCCCGCGTCCTGGCCGTGTGGCCCGGAGTCCCCGACGGAAATGACGGCCGCCCGGGCTCCAGGCGGGGATCGTGTGCTCGGCGTCAGTGCCTCCGACTGTGAAATAAATCTCTCACTGTGACGGCGGCCGCGTCTGTTCGCTGAAAAGGGAAACGGGTGCGAGGCAGGCGGTGCGGCTCCTCTGAGCCACGTTCTGGGCCCACGAGGGCCGTCGGGGGGCGAGGAGGGTGGGGGGTGCTTCCAGTGCCCCTGCTTTGTCCGCCGAGGGCCGTGGCTGGCACCCGCAGGCGGCAGTTTGGGGCAAGGCAGTGTTTTTTTGGGGTGAGGGCGGGTCTGGATTCGGGACCCCCGGGAAGACTGAGGGGCGAGGGGTGGAGGGCGGTGAGGACGTGGGAAGGGGCGGGTGGGCCGTTTGGATGGTCCTCGTCCCCGTTCCCTCTGTGACGGAGCGGCGTGTCTGTGTGCGTCCCCTGCACTCGGTGCTCAGCGGGGGGTGCGGGGGGACCCCCGTGAGAAGCTGGAGTTCGGGGGAGCAGGGACGGGCATGCCTGGCCGCCTGGTTTTAGTTTTTTAATGTTTTAAATTGATTTCAGAGAGGAAGGGGGAGAGAAAAGCATCCATGATGAGAGAATCGTGGATCAGCTGCCTCCTGCACGCCCCACAATGGGGATTGAGCCCACAGCCCGTCATGTGGACCGGCTGCCTCCTGCGCCCGCCCCCCCCACTGGGGATGAGCCCATATCCCCGGGGATGTGCCCTTGACTGGAATCGGCCCGGGACCCTTCAGTCCTCGGGCCGACGCTCTGTCAACTGAGCCACACCAGCCAGGGCAGAGCTGTTCTCACAGAAATGCTGTGGCTCGGCCTCCTGGGGCCGGGCGGGGGCCGGGCGGGGGCCTCCTGGGGCCGGGCGGGTCAGAACAGGAGCGGCCACGGGCGGTGCACACATCTCCGTGGGCGGGTGGCGTGCACACATCTGCGCGTCGGGATCGGAGGGAGGACCTCGGCCTTTAGTCTGGCCTTCAGTTCCCGCCCTCCCCCCTGCCCCTCGGTGATCATGGCGGCCCTCCCTGTGGGGACGGTTTAAGCAGAAGGAAGATCCTCTGCAGACACATCCCTGCGGACGGAGGACCAGCCGGGGGAGTTCCCATGGGGCGGGGCAGCCTCGCCCGGCCTGGGCTGGAACGGCTGGCGCCGCCCATGGGCCGGTGACCTCAGAGCCCAGCTTTTTGTGACAACTTCCCTTTAAAACGTCCCGCCCCAGCTCCAGCTGCTGGGGAGAGTGCGGCCGGGGTGTGGAGGGGTCCCCCAGGCCTCGGCCCAGCTCAGCGTCCCTCTGTCCTTCCGCCCGCAGCCTCCCCCCTCCCCCAGGTGTCCTGGGAGGAGGCCTGGCTTCCTTCCTGTCTGAGACGTAACCTTTAAGAGCGCCCGGTGCAGAACTGGGCCACAGACTCGCTGCTCCCTTTTCTCCCCGACATCAGCCTCCGGCCTCCTGGCCCCCGGCCTCCGGCCTCCGGCCTCCTGGACCATCAGCCTCCGGCCTCCTGGACCCCGGCCTCCGGCCTCCTGGACCTTGGCCTCCGGCCTCCTGGACACCAGCCTCCGGACGGGCCTCTCTGCTGGGCCAGGGGCACTCACTCGCCTTCACTCCCCTCCAGCGCCATTCCCCATCCACACTGACTGCGGCTCCGCTCCAGGCCCTCCTGCCTGCCCCCTCTCCCTCCTCCCCAGGACGCACTGTGATCCCGGCCAAGGACACTTTACTGGGCCAGTGTCTGTCCCCGAGGGCTTGGTGCTGTGAGACCGGCATCAGTGACCTCATTACCTGGCCCTTCCCGAGGAGAGGGTTCCTTGCCGACCTGTCTCCATCCTGTCCCCCTCCCTGTCCTAGTCCTACGTCCCACTCCCCAGCCTCCTCCCTGTCTCCTTCCAGTGCCCTCCTCCTCTCCTCCCTCTCCCAAGCCCCCTCCCTGTCCCCCACCCGTCCTAGTCCTACGTCCCACTCCCCAGCCTCCTCCCTGTCTCCTTCTCCCCTTCCCCTCCCCACTACCTCCCTGTCCTCTCCTCAGCCCCCTCCTCATCCCCCTTCCTGTCCCCTCCCCACCCTCTCCCCACCCCCCTCCCCTCTCCCTCCCGCCCTCCTCCCACCCTCTCCCCTCCCGCCTCCCCTCTCCCTCCCGCCCTCCTCCCACCCTCTCCCCTCCCGCCTCCCCTCCCCCTCCCGCCCTCCTCCCTGGCCCAGCACCGGCTTGGCAGTAGCTCCCTCTTGCCAACCTGCAGGCAAAGGCTCCAGGACGCAGGCCCTCCGGGCAGAGGTCCAAGCCGAGGCTTCGCCTTTCCCTTCTCGGCGTGGACGTGGGGGCGATGGTGATGGTCCGGGAAGAGGCTGTGTCCCTGCCCTGACCGGGACCAGGGGAGGCGAGGGAGCGGGACCAGTCAGCCATGGACAGGAGAGCAAACCCGGCCCTGCCAGCAGCACGGGTCCGCCACACAGCCTGCTCCTCGCAGCCGGCAGCCTGGCGATGGGAGGATGAGCCCCCAGGAGGGGCGGCCCCTGGCCCTGAGCCTTGGGGCTAGGGCACCAGTGACTCCCACTCTCACCCGGGGCTGCTTGGCGGGGGCGTGGCTCTCACCTTCCCAGGGCGGGTGGGCCACGCCCGACCAGCCAGAGGCCTCGAAGGAAGGAGCCCCGAGGTTCCGGAGCAGAAGACACTGTCTCAGGACCAGCCCGGACCCCCCGCCCCAGCCGTCCCGCTGGCCAGTGCCCACCCCCGGGCGAGCCGGCTCCCGGGAACCATCCGTCTTCGAGGGAGGCGGCCCCGGCCTGTCATTCCTGACACACAGGCCCCGCCGAGTCGTCCTCCAGGCCATGGACATGGTTCCTGCTCCCAGCCGGGGGCTGCCCTCGGTCCCTCTCGGCAGCCCCACGCCTTCCTGGGAGGACGCAGCGGCAGCCGAGGCTGAGCAGGGCTTTTCCTGGTGGTCCATGATGGAGCGTGAGGGTCAGGTCAGGAACCCTGACAGCGTCGGCGCTACAGGGAGGGAGCTGAGGGAGCCGGGCCGGCCCCAGGCTGCCCGCCCTGCGGCCCCTCCTCACAGGCACCTGGAGCCGGCCAGCTCGCCAGAGCCAGCGTGGTCCCAAACCAGCCGCGATGAGAAGCAGCCAGAGAGAGCCACACGGAGTGCCACACGTGACCCCGTGGCCTCGGGGCTCCTGGCCACTCCGTAGGCTGACACAGCCCTCCAGCTGCTCCCTGCGCTGCCCTGATTTTTAGAGAGAGGAAGGGAGAGGAAGGGAGAGATAAGGACATCGATGTGAGTCCCCCTCCCCAGTCTCCCCCCATCTCCTTCCAGTCCCCTCCTTCCCTCCCTCTCCCCAGTGCCTTCCCCGTCCCCCTCCCCCCTATCCCACCCTGTCCCCCTCCCCTCCCACTCCCTAGCCCGGTGCTAGGCCAGGGAGGAGGGCGGGGAGGGAGATAAGAGGAGGATGGGGAGGGGATGGAGAGGGGGACAGGGGGATCCGTTGACTGCCTCCGGCACACACTGCTTCACGGGTGTTCACGGTGCTGCCTTCACGTGTGTTGGCAGTGCTGCCTTCACGTGTGTTCACTGTGCTGCCTTCACGTGTGTTCGCGGTGCTGTCTTCACTGCTCTGCTCTGGCAGCAGCTCCAGGCAGAGAGGGGCCTGCTGTAGGCTCCCTCAGCACATCACCCCGACTCTGAAACAGGCCTCTCTGGCCCATTCTGAAGAATCCACCCTCCCCTCTGCACCAGGCACACGCTACGTAAGATGCACTGGTCACCATGGTAACACTACTTCCCGCCCACTCTCCAGCCAGACCCTCAATGCCTCATTCACTGTGTCTGCCACACCTGGCGCAGTGCCTGGCACATTACCATCTCTACATATAAAAGGCTAACATGCTAAGTGTCCGTCTGACCAGTTGCTATGTCGCACCCTGACCACCAGGGGGCAGACGCTCAGCGCAGGAGCTGCTGAGCTGTGGTGACTTGGCAGCAGTGGTTCTCGGATGATGCACACGGAACCAGAGAGGAGGGAGCCCATTCCTCCCAGGGCCACGCAATTGATTCCACCTTCGGCCGTGGATGATGTTGTTGCTGGGGCCTGTCGGCCCCGAGTCCGGTTACTGCACACGTGTGTTTGCATTCCACACCCTGTATGTACGACAGCAACTTTGCAGAGTGCCTCTCCCACTCGGGGACCCCCCGGGGGATGTCAGAGCCGGTTTCAGCCCGATCCCCACAGGCCAGGCTGAGGGACCCGCCTGCCAGAGGAACCCGGCTCACTCCGCAGACGCCCATGGACTACAGCACGGCCCAGGTGCAGACGGCCGGGGAGGCACCACAGGAGGCTGCTCCGGGGTGTGCCTGGCCCAGCTTGCCCAGTCCCACCTCGCCGGCCACTTTTAATTAATTTCCTTTCAATGTGCACGAGCCCATGCCCCGGGCCACTAGTGTTTAATAAGGAATGAGTGAATGTTTGAATGAACGAATGAGTGAATGAATATGGAAAGGCACGTGCTCCTCTCCAGGGGGACTGAAACACGGCCTGCGCTCGCTCCTGGGCTCGGCCAGGCGCAGGGCCGGCCTCCGGAGTCCCCTCCCTGCCAGTAACCCTCGGCAGAGGATGAGTGGAAGCGAACAGAGTGGATGGATCTGAGTCAGTTGCAGGCCAGAAGCCCAGCCACGCCCGCAGGACATTCTGCAGAGAAGATGCCAGCGCAGCCTCATGGAAAAGTCCCTCAGAGGCGCCTCGGCCTCAAAGCCGTCCGCCGGCTGTCAGCCCAGCCCAGGCACACTCACTCCGCGTGCCCCTCAGGGAACCGACTGCGGCCGGCCGGCCACCGGCTGTCAGCCCAGCCCACACTCACTCCGCGTGCCCTCTGCCCCTCGGGGAGCCGGGTACGGCCGGCCACCGGCTGTCAGCTCAGCCCACACTCACTCCGCGTGCCCCTCAGGGAGCCGGGTACGGCCGGCCACCAGCTGTCAGCCCAGCCCACACTCACTTTGCGTGCCCCTGCCCTCGGGGAGCCGGGTACGGCCGGCCGCCGGGTACGGCCGGCCGCCGGGTACGGCCGGCCGCCGGGTACGGCCGGCCGCCGGCTGCCGGGAGTGGAGTGAGGCCACGCCAGGTCACCGGTGACGTCTGCCGAGCCCCCGCTCCTCTCTGCCGGGCGGACAGAGCCCCGAGGCGGCAGGTCCTCTCACCAGCCACATGCCCCGTTTCCCTGCTGGTCCTCCTCTGACTCACACCTTTCACCCTCCTCCCGTCGCCTTAGAAACCGAGAGGCAGAGGATGCTCACAGCACCGGACACTGACCCTCGGCCGGGTTCCCCCAGGACCCTGCGGCCTCGGGTCCAGCAGGTCAGCCCGGCCACGGCTATGACCTCGCCGTCCTCTCCGTACCCGTGGCCACACGTGGCTGCTCCGCCCGCCCGCGTCCAGGAGCCGGGGAGCGGAGGCCCCTGGGTCAGGGCACGAGCGACGCTGAGGGACGGGCCTCCTTCCTCCGTGGCGCCCGCCGCCCTGCGCGGCCGAGAGGCACCCGCGGCCGCCAGAGGGAAGGTGAGGAGGCAGTTTCTGGACTTCGAAGAGGGGACGTTTCTGATGAAAACCCAGAGGCTGAAGGGGCCGTCGATGGAGGGACAGGGCGCCACGTGGGAACTTGGTGATGGCTCGGTCGCTGGTGGACACTCCGCTGAGGGCCAGGGAGCTGAACGGCGGGTCAGGAGAATGTATCCCGACTCTGCACAGAGAGCAAAAAGGATGAAGCATAATGACGTGTGTTATGTGGCACGTGGTACGAGAGAGAGAAGAGAGCGGGAGGGAGAGAAGCATCAGTGATGTGAGAGAATCATTGCTCAGCTGCCTCCTGCCCGCCCCACACGGGATCCAGCCAGCAGCCCGGGCCTGTGCCCCGACCGGGAATCAAACCACGACCTCCTGGTTCATAGGCCGACGTCACCCACTGAGCCCCCGTGGCTGGAGGAGACTCTTAATTCCCTGTCAGTGCGAGGCCATCGGGCGGGCAGCTGGCAGACAGGCGGGCTGTGTGCGTTTGGAAAGGGCTGTTAGCTGCCACCACCAGCCCCTCCCCTCACACCCGTCCCAGGCGGAGACCTGTCTTCAGGCCGCCCACACCCCCACCAACGCGCCGAGACCTGTCCTCAGAGGAGGCGGCAGCCGCTGGGCCGGCTCCTCGCTCACAGCGGGCGGCCAGGTCGGAGATTCTCCCAGGTTTCCCTTCCCGTGGAGACGGGCAGTCGCCTTGGAAACCGTCATCACGGGCCGCTGCTCGCCCTGACGGCCAGATGGAGGGCTGCGGCCCCCGGGACGGCCAGAGTGACGGCCTCAGCCGCCGTCCGGTGCGGGGGCGGGCAGGGGCCAGGAGGCAGAGGCGGGTGTCCGGCCCTGTCACTCCGCTCGGAGCCCCGAGGTGCTGGCCGCGGCCCCGGTGGCTGGAGCGGGGCCCCCACGCCAGCAGGGCTGCGGGGCGAGTCGGCCGCGGCACAGGCCTGGGCTGGGGCTCGTCCAGTGGCAGCCAGAAGGGGAGGCAGCCGGTCCATGTTCCCTCTCCCCGTCCCCCGTCCTCCGAATAACACACGTCCCTGCGGAGGACCAGAGGATGTGTGACCGCCACGGCCGCCACCTGCCACGGCAGCTCAGCAGCAGCAGCGAATGTGGGCGGGGCGTCCACGCCAAGCCTCCTTCACGGTGCAGCTGCGGGGGAAGGAGGAGGCAGTCCTGAGGGGGGGTGGTTTGCAGGTCACCTGGCAGGGTGCGGGGGACTTGGTGGTACAGGCGGCCTGGGGGGGGTGCAGGCGGCCTGGGGGAGTGTGGTGGCCTGGGGGGTGCGGGGGACCTGGGGGGGGTGTGCGGGCGGCCTGGGGGTGTGTGGGCAGCCTGGGGGGTGCGGGCAGCCTGGGGGGTGCGGGCGGCCTGGGGGGTGCGGGCGGCCTGGGGGGGGTTTGGGCAGCCTGGAGGGGGGTGCAGGCGGCCTGCGGAGTGCGGGGGACCTGGAGTGATGTGGTGGCCTGGGGGGTGCAGGGGACCTGGGAGGGGGTGCGGGCGGCCTGGGGGGGGTGCGGGCGGCCTGGGGGGGTGTGGGCAGCCTGGGGGAGTGTGGTGGCCTGGGGGGTGCGGGGGACCTGGGAGGGGTGCGGGCGGCCTGGGAGGGGTGCGGGTGGCCTGGGGGGTGCGGGCGGCCTGGGGGCGGGTTCGGGCGGCCTGGGGGGGTGTGGGCAGCCTGGAGGGGATGTGGGCAGCCTGGAGGGGGGCGCAGGCAGCCTGGGGGCTGCGGTGGCCTGGGGCGGTGCGGGGGACCTGGTGGTGCAGGAGGCCTTGGCCATCACTTTAGTGGAGGAGCCTGGTCACAGAGGAGGGGACAAGCTCCAGCTGAGAGGAGGCAGCCCCTGTGCACTGAGAGGAAGGACCTGTGCGGGCCTGGAGAGGGAGGAGTGAGCCCAGGGGCCGTGTCCGCCTCCCCAACAGCCTCTCCTGCCAGAGGGCCCACAGCAACACCTGGGGTGAGGGCTGCCCCCAGACCCCCATTCCCCAGGGCAGGGGCCTTCCTTCCCACCCGGGGACTGGAACCTGAGAACTTTGTCTGTCCGAGGGCCTCCCCCAGGAGAGGGGGCCTTGTGAGCTGCCTCCCGCCTCCCGCCTCCCACCCCCGCCTCCCGCCTCCCACCCCCGCCTCCCGCCTCCCCCCTCCCACCCCGGCCTCCCCCCTCCCACCCCGGCCTCCCGCCTCCCGCCTCCCGCCTCCCCCCTCCCACCCCGGCCTCCCGCCTCCCGCCTCCCCCCTCCCACCCCGGCCCTCCCCCCTCCCACCCCGGCCTCCCGCCTCCCGCCTCCCGCCTCCCCCCTCCCACCCCGGCCTCCCGCCTCCCGCCTCCCGCCTCCCCCCTCCCCCCCCGGCCTCCCGCCTCCCGCCTCCCGCCTCCCACCCCGGCCTCCCCCCTCCCACCCCGGCCTCCCGCCTCCCACCTCCCGCCTCCCCCCTCCCACCCCCGGCCTCCCACCTCCCGCCTCCACCCCCCGCCTCCCGCCCCCGGCCCTCCCGCCTCCCCACCTCCGCCTCCCACCTCCCACCCCCCCTCCCACCCCCCGACCTCCCGCCTCCCCGCCTCCCGCCTCCCCCCTCCCACCCTGGCCTCCCGCCTCCCCCTCCCACCCCGGCCTCCTGCCTCCCGCCTCCCCACCTCCCACCCCCGCCTCCCACCTCCCACCTCCCACCTCCCCGCCTCCCCCCCCCGGCCTCCCACCTCCCACCTCCCGCCTCCCCGCCTCCCCCCCCCCCCCCCGGCCTCCCACCTCCCGCCTCCCCGCCTCCCACCTCCCACCTCCCCCCCCCCGGCCTCCCACCTCCCGCCCCCCGCCTCCCGCCTCCCACCTCCCCCCCCCCCCGGCCTCCACCTCCCGCCTCCCCCCCCCCCGCCTCCCGCCTCCCCCCTCCCACCCTGGCCTCCCGCCTCCCCCCCCCCCCCCGCCTCCCACCCTCCCGCCTCCCCGCCTCCCACCTCCCACCTCCCCCCCCCCCCCCCCCCGCCTCCCGCCTCCCGCCCCCCGCCTCCCGCCTCCCACCCCGGCCTCCCGCCTGCCGCCTCCCGCCTGCCGCCCTCAGTCCCAGCGGAGCGCTTCCTGCTCTCCAGCCCCTCGGTCCTTCGTGGCCCTTCGTGGCTCCCCGACCAGGAACCAGCAGGCTGTTCCCCGCCACGCAGGGCCCAGCCGCCCTGTGCACAGCTGAGCGGGCGCCCGGACCAGCCGCCGGCCCAGCGCCCGCACACCGGCAGTGGGAGGAGTGGCAAGGCCTCTCCTGCCCGAGCTTCTGACAGAAAACTTAGCTGTTAGCGCCGAACAGTGGATTTCACACATCGCCACCTGCACAGTTTTGTTTTTTTATAAATATATTTTACTGATTTTTTACAAAAAGGAAGAGAGAGGGATAGACAGTTGGAAACATCGATGAGAGAGAATCGACCAGCTGCCTCCTGCACCCCCCCCACTGGGGATGTGCCTGCAACCAAGGTACATGCCTTTGACCGGAACTGAACCTGGGATCTTGCAATCTGAAGGCTGACGCTCTGTCCATTGAGCCAAACCGGTTTCGGCGGCACAGGCTTTAATAGCGATTTCACCCACGGCAGTCCCCAACAGCCAGGTCACAGCGATGCCTGGTGCAGCAGCGCTCACGATGTTTCACGCTCAGTGCCAGCCATGCACACGCTGCCCAGCTGCTCGGACGCAGCATCCCCGCCCCTGGACTTGGCTCGTTCCTCGGTGGAATGAGGGTGCCTGGGACACAAGCACGGACACCCCGACACCCCGCCTGGCCCCCGAGACGAGTCGAGCTTCCAGGGTGGAGATGGTCACATCCGGGCAGCACCAGATCCAATCACGCTGCTCAGAACAGCAGGCCATTTAAACGCACAGATGGCTTATTTCTGGAATTTCTATTCAATGCTGTGGGGCCCAGGTTAACCGAAGCCCTGGAAAGGGACACTGCGGACCAGAGGGGCTGGCTCCATCAGAAGCATCATCCATCCCCTGGGCAGGGGCCGGAGGCCACACCCTGCGCCGGGAGGAGCGGCTCCAGGGGTGAATCTCCTGCCCCCAGGCCACCCCGCACCCCCAAACAGAAGGGTGGCCTTCACCCCGGAGCAGGCCGGGCACACACCACGTGCAGAGAGTGGAGGTATGGCCTAGGGTTCTGAGCTCAAACACCACAATCCAGTCCCGTCACAATCCATCCGAATTAATCTTTATTCTCTTTGTGACTGAGCCACGCATGCCCCCGTGAGTCTCCGCCATGGGAAACGGGACACCACGTCCCTCTGGAAGCATCGGCAGGCCGGGGGCAGGGCACAGGGCACAGAATCCCGTCACGAGCAGCGCTGCTCGCTCCCCGGCAGGTTTCCCTCCTGCCGGCCCCTCAGGCTGTGGGGAGGCTCAGAGAGGACGGCCGGGTGGCCGGAGAGCCACGCCTCACTCAGTGTTCCTCAGGGCACCGGCGGCGAAAGGGAGTTAGGCACCAAGTGAAGATGGGTTTGATGCAAAGGAGAGAGCAGTGCAGAAATCATGGCAGCTTTTTATCGGAACAAAAGCTCCGATCCTGTGTCCAGCGAGCGTCACAGGATGGAAGCAGTCACCTCTTCAAATCAGAGAGCCGTGAGGCAAGCCCACGGCTCCCCGGTGCCCGTGGACACACAGGACCCGGCCTGCGAGACCCTCGTCCGGGAGTGGCAGCAGGAACGGCCGCCTCGGCCGGGAGCCGAGGGCGCGAGGGTCACAGCTCGGACTTGGAGCTGGCT